CTCACCAAAAGCATCAGACGAGCCTGTTGATGCCCCTTCTTCCTCTCCAACTGAAAGTGTTGCTGATGAAAATCCGAAAAAGGATGAACCAGGGAAGAAGAAAGACGAAATGGTGCAAAGTGAGCCAGCTGGTGATGTTGAAATGAAGGAGGAGGAAAGTGATGTTAAGAAATCATCTGAAGGACTTAGTGCTTCAGAGTCCAAATTGCCGAAGCAGACAGGGAAAAAGGTACCTTCAGTAACTGATAAGGAAGACAGTGTACTGAGTTCTGATGATCCAAAGGAAGATGAGAAAACAAGTGATGTGGAAGCCAAACCAGCAAAACAGCTGGGCAAGAAGGATGAAGTTGTTGGTAATCTGCGTGATAATAAGAAAAAGAGAAGTCAAGGAAAAGCAACTCCTGCGAAGGAACTTACAAAAACTCCGTCCAAGGATGAGAAGGTACTTGTTAGAAGCTGTTGTGTTCATCCTGTGATGAATTCTTATTAATTAGTTATGCTATGCCATTGCACAAGCTTTATTTGACTCAAAAATATTTAATGATTTTTTTCAGAAGCCTGTTGGTTCAGCCAAGTCTACTGCAAAAACCACTAAAGATGAGAGTGATGTAGAGAAAGCATCTGAGTCAAATTCCAAGAGGAAGCGTACCAACGAAAAGAAAGTATCTGCTGAAAAGAAAGTATCCAGTGAAAAGAAAGTACCCTTTGAAAAGAAGGTTTGTGGGTCTATTCAGGCCTTGATCATTAGATAATGCTTGCATTGAGTCTGCCGATAATGCTTAATATCTTTTATCATGGATTGCTGAGCTGAATTCCATAGTTCTTGGTGCTGAAATTTTTTAAAAAGCTACTTTATATTGGTATAAGGAATTGAATTCTGACCAATGTTTTAATTTGACCTACAGGTGCTGTGAAACTGCATTATTGATATTTAGAATGCATGATCATTATCTTAGAAAGTGTACCAGTGTTTGAGGTCACTATTCATTTGAAACAATATGACTGTAACACCTTTTTGTGTTATTGTCAGTATTTAGATTTTTGATCCAAATCTATTTCTCGTTTGTCCCCCCCTTTTTTTTTTTTTTTGAATTTGATAAAGTATGTCAAAAATTTTGGGCAAGGCAGTTTTGACCATGATGTGCGTTTTAGATTGCTGCTTTCAAGTTGGTAGGATGGGACGGTTTATTCCATATATTATTTTGGAGTTCTACTTTAGTAGTTGGGGTACTGAATAGGCTAACGTTGCTTGATAAGCATACTCAATAATGTTGATTAGTTCATATGAATTGTTATCATCTCTCCACATTCTTGGATTTTTTTTTAAGGCAAACTTTTCTCAGAAAATTGTTTGGTAATGAGGGTTTATTACTCATGTAGAGGTTTTTATCTTGGATTCGAATCCTCATCAGATCATTTTGATGTAAATTTCAGGCTGCAAAATATGGTAAGGAATTGGTTGGTTTGAAGGTCCAGGTTTGGTGGCCGGATGACAAGAAGTAAGACGTTTGCTTATTTTCTACTGATTAACTTTGCATTTTGTCAATTTTGTCAATTTTGTGGAACTTTGCATATCAAATTTGCATCATCTGTTCTAGATTTGAGAGAATTTGAATGTTAATTATCATTGAATTGCTGTAAGCTATTTGTATTATCACTTTTGTACTATGAGTATCTGAATTCTTACCTTATCTCATCTCTGATGTTACTGTCTTTTTGTTCAAACATGTGTTTTGTTCTTTTATCTTGACACAATGCATCTATGGTTGCATAGTTGTAGCAGTACTTATGTTTTATTTTTTCCCAGTCATTATAGCTTTGGCAATGCAATATCTTTATAGCTGGCAATGGCTCATGCATGACTGAGTCACTGCCTTACCATTAGTTGATTCCTGAATATATCTATTAGTACATACTTTAATTTCCTTTCGTTTGGGGGAGTTTTTTGCAGGTATTATAAAGGGGTTATCGAGCACTTTGAGCCCGCTTCAGGAAAGCATAAGGTGATGGGAAGTCTAATCCCCAGTGTTGATTCTGTATTTTAGGCTTTTGCTTTTCTTACTAAGTAGTTTGCTTCATATTTATGTAGGTATTATATAGTGATGGTGATGTTGAGGTTTTAAAGCTTGAGAAGGAAAAGTGGAAGTTGATTAATGATGACTCCAAGCCTGATCAGGTTTGGCCTTTGAATTATCTTGGTTTTTAGGTTTTTATAAATAGATGTTTTTACAGTTGCTAATATGTACTAGTTCTTCTTGATCACAGGGGGATTCAAGCGATGGTGAAATCCCTGATGAAGCTGCTGAAACGTATGTCTTCTTGCTGAACATTGGGCTTTGTTAGTGCAAGAGAGCCTTGCCTTTTTGCACATTAAGTTGACTCATTCTTACTCACTAGTTTTAAAAAAATTGTATTTTGATTTAATCTTGTGATAACTTGTTGCTTTAATCCAAAGTTTCTCATCGTTTTTTAAATTATCATTGGATAATATGTGGTGTTAAACTGGCTGTTTTTATAGGAGTTTTATGAATTTATTCTGTCAACTTTCTGGTTCTCTCATCACTCATAGTGTGCTGGTTTTTAGGCCAAAAGCTAAAAAAGCTAAGACAAGTCCTGCCCCAGCTGCTAAACGAGGAAAGACTGAAACTTCAGCTAAAAAGTACAGTGTGCATTTTACTTATTTTTGATGTATTCCCCTTTTTTTTGGTACTTTGTTTTATTCAGTGTAAGATATTTGGCTTGTATCTTCCAGGTCTGGAGCTTCAACCAGCAAATCCAAAACTACAACCAAGCCCCGGACTAAGCTCAAGGATGATAGTAAGGTGGATGGCAAAGCGAAGGATGAAACTTTGAAGAGTATTGCTAAATCTGAGGAGGATAAAGGTGGAAAAAACAAAGATTCAAAATCTGGCAACAAGGACAAGACCCCTAAAGCAGTTGGGAAGTCCAAAGCTAATGATGTGGATGCATCTAAAGGAAGTACTAAGCCACAGCAAGAAACTCCTAAGGGTGCCACAAAGTCCAAGGGAAAATCGCCAAAGAGTGGTAGCAAATCCAATAACAGCAGCAGCAAAGTAAAAGCTGCTCCTCAAGCAGAGGATGAGGAGGAGGATATGGAGTCTTCACCGGAAACACCAAAAGTGCCTGAAACTTCGAAGGGGAAGTCTCAGAATACATCAAAATCGAAGAGTGCAAAGAAGAGAAAAAGAGGCGCAAAAGGCTAAGTCCAAACTTGTCATATGTCATTCTCATGTCGACAGTTTAACTGTTAGATTTCTTTTGTGCTCTGATCACTGCTGTTCATAGTTAGCCACACACAACATTTGTGTTAGGTAATTCGTGGCTACTCTCTGGTATTACAATAGTTTCATAGTCGCATTTTAGGATAAGGGTTCCTGTGTAGAATTTGATTTTGGTTGTTGAGGGAAGAGTAGTAGACTTTGGGAGATTAGTTTTCTTAGATATTAAGTCTATAGATAGATGTAGATTCTTGCTATGTTAAATTGCATCCTATTTATCCAACTTACATATTTGCATGATTTGTGGTTTTAACTTCTTGCTTGGATTTTGTAGACGTATATTTGTATGCGTAGTGGTTCTGTTCTTTGCCTTAGACGAGTAGTGTCTTTTTGTAGTGATGGACTGATGGTAGAGGGACTGGTATGTGGTATCTGGCTCCTGCTCTGTTGGGCAATGGAATTGGTTTTGGTGTTAGTGTTATTGTGAGTTAGATGATTTCTTCCACATAGTAACCCGATTAGAACCCAGCCAACTGCCTTTGTGTTTGAACTGATAAATCTTGTGACAACTCCTATTGTGTTCAAATTATGTTAAGCGTAGTAAGCAATTCCTAAACTACAATTTCTATCTGCTTATACCAAGCAAAGTTTGGTGGAGTTGGTGGAGAACTCACTTTGTGACTTTAAAGTCATGAGTTCGAGCCCTACTAATTTATGATCTTGATTCTTGACCAATTTATAGGTTATGTTTCCTAAACCTACGACAAAAGAAGAGCAAAATAATTATTAGAAACTATGAATCCTGCAAATAAGTTAGTATCGCATAATTAAAATAATTAACATAATTAAATGGGTTAGTATCTCACAAAGCGTAATATATGGTACTTGTTTTTAGTGTAAAATTGGACAGTGTGGTAGTATGCATTGGGATTTATCTTAATTTGATCAAATTTGAATTTATATTTTATGATCGGGTCTAATTAAATTTAATTATTTAAATTTACTAAAGTTTAACCTCATATGTATGGTAATTTAATATATCTATTAGATTTGTACTAATGTGTATTATCCAAATTTGTGATTTTCGTATTAAAGTTGCCCTTAATTCGAGATATTTAATTGGGTTTGATCTAACTCATCTTATTTAATACTCCTTCCGTCCCTTAATACAAAGCCTCATTTCCTTTTTGGGTAAACCAAAATACAATGCCTCTTTCTATTTAAAGGATGTATTTTTTGACATTATTACCCTCTATTTGATGAGTTCTCATCTTTTTTTTCTTTACTTTTCTGTATTTTTAACTTCAATTTCCAACACTTTCTCTCTATATCTCTTCAATTATTCCCAACTACAGTACTTTTTCTTTTTCTTTATCTCTCTAACCCCACATGCACATATGTACTTTTAATCATTGGTTTTAAAGAATTTACAACTTTCTTAATTCCGACGCAAAAACCAAAATAGGCTTTGTATTAGGGGACGGAAGGAGTACAAATTATTAATAGGTTACACAAGTCATTTTCGGGTGTAAATTCTCAACCTTAACCTAACCCATTTTATTTCCAAATCGGGTCCTTGTCATTTAATGAATTGGGCTGGAAAGCTCAATCCAAACCTACTTTTTTCAAGTCGGGTTAGTTTTTGTCAGACCTAAGTGTGTGAAAATAATATTTGAGAAATTAAAGGGTAGAAGGAAAATTGATACTAATAGATTTATTTCTAATTTCAAACCCTTCTAGTTTCATAATTGAACGACTGTATAAAGACTCGCCCTATTTATATATTAAACGGATTTGACCCATTTATAACTGGAAAGGGTCGGGGCTTTTAATGGGGGGCTCCAACCCATTGAATTGCTCTAATTGTCAATAAGGGGAAAAAAAAAAAAAAACACGGAAGAACGTAGCCCTATCTCCTCCTTTCTCAGTTCTCCATTGAAGCGAGGCGCCTTCTAATACTTGTATCCCCCATTGAAACAGCTTCTGAGGTAAGTTGTTGTTTCTTTTTGCAAGCATCATATCTATTTCACAATCTAGGGTTTATCTTTGATCTAATTTAATTTAATTTAATTGTGAGGGTAGTAAGTTTAGGGTTCGAACTATTGGTTCTAATTACTAAGTTATGAAAGTTCATAACCAGCGATTATGTTCTTAGAAAAGAAAATTATGAGCCTAATTGATAATTGAATCAAAAATCCCTAAAGTTATGAGCCTTATTTGATAATTGAATCAAAAATCCCTAAAGTTATGAGCCTTATTTGATAATTGAATCAAAAATCCCTACAGGAGCCCTTTAATGTTTGGATTGAACTATGAAATTATCCCTGGGCCTGAATTGAGCTTGTAAACACGAATGACTTGTAAACCCTATAATGTTAAGATTGAACCTTATTCAAATTGCATTGATTGATTGTAATCAGGTGCAAGGTGTTGTTTGTTTGTTGATCAATTGAGAGTAGACGACGTATATTTAGTACAATGAAGAGGCCTTTGGAGGAAGTTGCCAGTGTGGTTGCCTCAGCTGCAGTGGCGAATACCAGCTCTAGTAATGCGAAGCCGGTTTTCTTGACTAAAGCCCAGAGAGAGCAGTTAGCTTTACAAAAACGTCAAGAAGAAGTTGCTGAACAGAGACGCCGTGCTGAGGAGTTGCTTCAGAGTCGATCTGTTGATAACAGACCTTCCGATTCTTCTCACCACCGCTCTTCCCGCGACCATGACCGTGATCGTGACCGCGATCATGACCGCTACCGTGATCGTGACCGTGTGCGAGAAAGAGAAAGAGACCGTGATCGGGAGAGAGATCGTGAAATTGAAAGGAGGAATCGTGACAAGGAACGTGAAGAGGAGAGCAAAACTAGGGATCGTGCTAGGCTGGAGAAGTTGACGGAAAGGGAGAGGGAAAAGGAACTGGAGCTTATTAAAGAGCAGTATCTAGGTTCCAAGAAACCTAAGAAGCGTGTGATCAAGCCTAGTGAGAAATTTCGCTTCTCCTTTGATTGGGAGAACACTGAGGACACCTCTCGCGACATGAATGCTCTCTATCAAAACCCTCATGAGGCTCAGCTGCTGTTTGGTAGAGGGTTCCGAGCGGGAATAGATCGTAGGGAGCAGAAGAAGCTAGCTGTGAAAAATGAAGTTGAGTTGCGTGAGGAAATTCGCAAAAAGGATGGCACAGAAGAGGCACCTGAGGAGGCTGCTGCTCAACGTCGCCGGGAGCAAGCTGCTGAAGTGTATGAGGATCATGATATGAGGGTAGACCGCCACTGGTCTGATAAGAGGCTTGAAGAAATGACTGAAAGGGACTGGAGAATTTTCAGGGAGGACTTCAATATATCTTACAAGGGGTCTAAGATTCCTAAACCAATGAGGAATTGGGTAGAGAGTAAACTGACTTCAGAGCTGTTGAAAGCTGTGGAGCGAGCTGGCTATAAGACTCCGTCCCCTATCCAGATGGCAGCTATTCCTTTAGGACTTCAACAGCGAGATGTCATTGGTGTTGCGGAGACTGGTTCGGGTAAGACGGCTGCTTTTGTTCTCCCTATGTTGGCTTATATAACTAGGCTGCCACCGATTACTGAAGAGAATGAAGCTGAGGGTCCTTATGCTGTTGTTATGGCCCCTACTCGCGAATTAGCTCAACAGATTGAAGAGGAGACTGTTAAGTTTGCCCACTATCTGGGGATTAAGGTTGTCTCGATTGTTGGTGGACAATCCATTGAGGAGCAGGGATTCAAAATTAGACAAGGGTGTGAAATTGTTATTGCAACCCCTGGACGTCTCTTGGATTGTCTGGAAAGGCGTTATGTTGTTTTGAACCAGTGCAATTATGTTGTTCTTGATGAAGCTGATCGAATGATAGATATGGGTTTTGAGCCTCAGGTTGTTGGTGTGCTGGATGCAATGCCTTCAAGTAATATGAAGCCTGAGAATGAAGAAGAGGAGCTTGATGCAAAAAAGATTTACCGGACAACCTATATGTTTAGTGCCACTATGCCACCTGCTGTAGAGCGGCTTGCCAGGAAGTACTTGAGGAATCCTGTGGTGGTGACTATTGGTACGGCTGGAAAAACTACTGACCTCATCACACAACATGTGATCATGACAAAGGAATCAGAAAAAACTTACAAGCTGCAAAAGCACCTTGATGAGTTAGGTGATAAGACAGCTATAGTGTTTGTTAACACCAAGAAGACTGCTGATGTGCTTTCCAAAAATTTGGACAAATCAGGTTATCGAGTCACAACATTGCATGGTGGAAAATCACAGGAACAAAGAGAAATCAGTCTGGAAGGTTTCAGGACCAAGAGGTACAATGTAATGGTTGCCACAGATGTTGCTGGACGTGGTATTGATATACCTGATGTTGCTCATGTAATCAACTATGATATGCCGGGGAATATTGAGATGTACACCCATCGTATTGGCCGAACTGGGAGAGCAGGAAAAACTGGTGTGGCGACCACCTTTTTGACTTTGCATGATACTGATGTCTTCTATGATTTGAAGCAGATGCTCATTCAGAGTAATAGTCCTGTTCCGCCTGAACTTGCAAGACATGAATCTGCAAAATTCAAACCTGGATCAGTTCCTGATAGACCTCCAAGACGCAATGAGACTGTTTTTGTGCATTGATAATTCTGCCTCTTCAGGACATCGTTTTGAATTTTGATAAAGTTTCTCCGGAATGTACTTAAATGTCTAGGGTTTTCTGCATTGGAGTTTCATGTGAGTAACTACAACTTTTCAAATTTGTCTGGCTTCTATTTCTAATCTATCAGTTTATTAACAATTATCCACCTCCTCCCCTGGGAACAGTATGTTATGTACTTGAGTAACTTGACTATCTTTGGTTAATTTTATCAAATCTGGTTTTATGGATGTGCCCTTTTTTTTTTTCACCCTTCTGTTTAAAGCATTTTAAATTTGCTCAATGTGAAATTGTGTTACTCGATATGGCATTTGCAATTGGTCTTTATGTAGTCCTTTTACCCTTTGTAAGTGCTGAGTCTCCTTTTGCGGATGTGAAGGAAGTTGGGTCTGTAAATCTATGTTGGCAGCTTCTCGGGTAATGTGCGGTACTGAATTAGGTAATTTGTGCTTGTTTTATTATCCTTTCCTACTTAGGATTACTTTTATTATGAATTTGGACAAGATAAAGGAAGGTTAGAGGTTTAGACTACTGTTTAACCTATACGAAGGAGGGAGGGTAAATGTTAAAATTTTTATGTCAAACTTAACTGTGAACCAATGGAAACCATTCGAATGAGGGAGGTTTTGTGCTACTATTATACTTAAATACAGTTTTTATTTATTTATTTATTTATTTTTAATTTTTTTTTAATCAAAAGCCCCACTCAAAGACTCCCAAAATGAGGGTAGTAATCTCTCCATCCTTCCCTCCTCGCGCCATCACTGCCTCATCCCGTTCACCACCACCTGATTGTCTTTATTTTGTCTCCTACACCTCTCATTCATTATTCATTTTCCCCCAAACCCAAGCATGTCCTTAGGGGTGGTTTTTGCTAAAATATTACATGATTGCTTCAGGTCACTGGTAGACCACCCTGGAACCTGACATCTGGTACTGTTCTTGTACAGTACTTGAGTGCACACAGCTTCCTTGACTGCTGAGTGTATTGTAACCTTTAGTTGTGGCTGTCTACCTTCTGGCTTTTGATTGATCTGTGTGTAGCTCTATGAACTCACATTTTCCTTTTCGGCACTGCTCGCTGCAATCATTTTTATACTCTGCTCTTTGCTCGGTTTGGAATGAAATAGATTATGGCTCATGTCTTGCGACTACTTTAGTCTACTGTTTCAACATCTTCTGTTTTGGTTTCAGCAGGCACAAGAGGCTGGAGCAGAAACAAAACGCACATCTTATAATTAAGCAGGCAAGGACATTATGTTGTTTTGAATTTGATTAATATTCTTTTTCCAAGTATATATCACTTTTTGCTATTACTCATTGCACTTGCACTTGTACTATAGTCCGCGGCCACCTGTGGGATGGTATAGTTCTGTTGAGTGAAGTAAATACTGTTCTCTGTATCTTCAAATTACTATGATATCCACATACGTAGTATATCAATGAGATTGCTGGATTAAATGAGTTGCAGACTTGCAGGAGTATGTCTTGCAAGAGCACTTCTTTGCGGGAATGAGAGGGAGGTTATGTAGTGTACGTAAGCTTGATCTATTACTAACATGGTTGATCTGATATGGTTTTTGATGGTGAATTAGATGCCTAGAGACCATTTAGTCAATAGATTTGCTCTTAAGGTTTCACTATGAGTATGTTTAGAAGTAGTCTAAGATGGGGAATGATTAAGATAAAGGATTCTGGATTATTTCTGTAATTGACCTGTTCGAGTGGATGCTCAATTTTGAAGTAGTTCCTTTTGGTAGTGAGTCATCTGTATACACAAGCACAAACTGAGGAACCAATTCTTATATTGTGGTAGCGTAATTGATCGTATGAATGCTATAAGCAAGTCAGATCTACTCTTGTTCGAAACTTGTATATGTGCACTGTGGTGACCGGTGACATGTTAGTATATATTCCACCTTAGCTCCAAGAATGGATTGTATACCTGTATACATTGCATATAGAAGTATTTCAGAAAAGAGATCTGACGCTTAATGTGTGATATAAGGTTGCTTGTGATGGTTATACAGTATTTACCCGAGTCTGAGGCCTTTACTGTCTTGGCCATTGGAATGGTGGGAGCTGATACGGGTCAAGGAGGATTTGTGCTTAGTTTGCTGTAAATGTGGTGATCATCTCTCTTTGCCTATTGAAATATATTCATGCTGCACACCTGGTACTTAGTAAATGGTACAGCCTCATTCTTAGGTTATTTTGGAGCTCCCCAAATGAGAGAGGGGTAATTAAATGAAATTTATCGCGAATGAACAACAAAATAATTGGTTTTATCATACACTGTGTACAACATAATTTTATACTGAAATAACATTGCCTATATTTTCGATGGTTATTTAATTAAAATTGAATGGTACTTGTATGTTATTCTGTTTTGTTTATGGGCTTTGATCGGGCCTATGGGCCTCATCTTAGGCCTTTACATCCTTATGCTAATGTAATGCTAATGCTGTCAGAATTTGTGTTTTACGAGTAGTAGATTGTCTGTGCCAATTTATAAATAAAATTATGAATCTCGTGAAAATATCGTTTCAAAAAAAAAAAAAAAAAAAAAAAAAAAAAAAAAAAAAAAGGTAATACAATAAGTAATAATGAGCTCGTTAAAAAAGGTAATAATGGACTTATTACATAAAAAAATTAATACTCCGTATGAAACTATTATTAATTCACAATAATCATCAGTAAATTTTTTTTTAAGGAATGTGATCCGGATAGTATTTTATGTCATTTGCATTTCTATCTCCCATTGTTTTCACTAAAACTATAAACACAATAGTAACCTTATATCTTACCTATCAATATATATTTTTCCAAGCATAGTGCCAAAAACTAGGGGTGAGCAAAAATTCAGGGTACCTTGAATTAAAACCGGAACCTGTTAGGAACCGCAAGTTCGGTTTCGAGTAGTAAAATATAACCAAAACCTGTAGGGTACTCTGTAACCTAATAAAAGTGTTATTTAAGCCCAAATCATATATCAATTTAAGCCTAATTTTTACTTAATATAAATAAAAATAATTGTTATAACTTTATGTATTAAATTTGGTAAACAACTATTTTTGGTTTATTATATTTGCAAACTGTAAATTTATGACCCTATAATTTTTTTTTAAAAAAAGTATGAAATATAGTAAAAGACAGGGTACCCTGAATCGAAACCGGAACCTGCAGGTAAGATATTTAACAGGGTACTCTGTTATGCTCACCACTACCAAAAACAATCACATTATAGTCATACAACCAATAATTGATTGAATATACAACACAAGTATATAAGTATAGATTTATGTGAATATAATACATTAATTCATCAACTAACTATTTATGTATGTGATGTATACATTTTTTTTTACAGACATATATTCTTATAATTTTGTATGACATTAAATCATAATATATACATAATATATATAAATTATTTAAAAGTTAAATATTAGGATTAGTAGTTCATTAGTAAGAAAATATGAAAATTTTCAATCATAAACTTATATTGTGAACTAAGATTTAATAATACTTACTCTTAATTCAATAGGGTCACTGGGCTAAGACGTCACACTCCCAAACCAAATAGTTTAATTTAAACAAAATACTACCTCCGTTTTTTTTAGTTGACACGTTTTGACTTTAACACTATTCACTCACTCCTCTTTGACCGTGTTTTGTGTTTTACACCTAATGAAAATGTAGTCATGTGGAATCTTGTTAGATTCGTCGTGATATATATTTTCAAAATATCAACTTTTTATAATTTTTGTTTATCGTAATTAAAGACATTAATGATTGAAGTTGTGCATTGATAAACGTGACTAAAGAAACGTGTTGACTAAAAAGAAACGGAGGAAGTATTATTTAAGCCGTCTTAAAAAAAAAAAAAAAAAACTAGAATTTATAGAAAATGCTTCCTTTGTTTTGTTTCATATGCAATACAATCTTATGACATCCATTTTGAAAAGGATGTTGAGTTGTTGACTTATGTATCCAACATAATCAAAATATTAATACACATAAATAATACTCGTATTATCTAATTATTTTTTTATTCACGATTGTTAAATGATATTGGTAAAATAGGTTGTTTACATGATAAACTGATAGTTACCTCACCTAATAGCGCATATCATACACCCGTGTTACAAAGTTACAGGAAAAGAGGAATTAAAAATTACCGTAGTATGTACGAGGGATTAAAAATTGGTACTGCGCTTAGGTCGTATTGAGTGTGATGAGATGTTTTGTCCTATCTCTATTGCTTTTTATGACTTTCCCATCACCATTAGATTTTCATCATTCTGTCCTCTTACGATTATGTTATCATCATCTCCAGTACTTTTACTTTCTTGGGTCAAATATTACGGCAACTTGGTCAATCTCTATCATTAGAATGTTTAATGTTATTTTAGAAAAAATAAATTCTGATTAAATCATCGTTTTATGTGCAATTTTTTATCGCTAAATATCTTTAATTTCGTAATGAAAATTACATATTAATAAAATACACATTATAACGAATCTAACAAGATTCCACTTGATATATTTTTTCCTTACATATTATCGTATACTTAAGGTCAAAGTTTGGTCAGATCAGACAATAAGATAAGATAAGATAAGATCAGATTAGACTAGATCAGATAAGATCATATCAGATCATACCAGATTAGATAAGTTCAGATAAGCAAAAATAAGGTGAACTAAACATGCCCTTAATTACTTGGTATATAAAACTCAATCAACGCTTGCTACTTGCTACTATACAAGTATTTGTTATAATATTCTTTCCCCATATTTATGAATATGAGTAATTTAGTAAAAACAAATGATAAATACGTACATATTCTGACCCATCAGGATATTGATTTGTTTATGGATAATAAATACTAGATGGAAACCTGTGCGATCACGGTTTTTTCTTCTAAGATTTTTAATTATTTGATTTATTGTATTTAATAATTTCAGAAAAAATTACAAAAGTTTAATATTTTTTTTACTATAATTTATAATGAATTTATTAAATATAAATAAAATGTAAATATGATATTTTTTTCCGTTATATAAAATCTTTAATGTGAAAAGATAAATGTTTAATAATTTGAATCCTAAATCATTATTCATTGTTTTACCATATCTTTTTTTTCGATAGAATCACCAACCTTGTCCAGAACCAACCTACTACATCAATGGATAAATTACAAATATAAATTTAAACATAGGATTTTAAAAATTACCCAGACATTGATGACTTAAAACTAACACAAAATTTGCTTGATGGGGTTTTGTATTGATACGAAATTTTATTTGTGTTATATGATGTGTTAGATCTGCATGTAAAAAAAAATTTAGTAAACAAAACATAAACATATAATCGTTGAAATTAATACAATGTAAGTAATAATTAGAAATACTAATTTAAACATAGGATTTTAAAAATTAAACTAAAAATTACCCGGCCATTGATGACAAAAAATTAACACAAAATTTTCTTGATGGGTTTTTTATTGATATGAAATTTTGTTTGTGTCGTATGATGTGTCAATTTATAATGGTAGGTATCACAAATTTTAATTTAATTATAATTAACGAACAATCTGTATTTCTTATCATAAGTACTATCAAAATTTATGTTATAATGATGGGTATCAAACTTTATTATAAGCGTTTATTATTTAGATATTTCTTAGTTTTTTTTTTTGGATTTCTTATACTCGTAGTATTGAATTAATAAATTTAATTTTTCCTATATTTTTACTTTATTTTTTTCATTAAAATAACTTAATTCGTGGATTATAATCTACGTGGCATTAAAATTTTTACGTGGCGCTCCAAATGCTCTCCAAAAATTCCTACTTTATTTATATATATTAGATTCTTATTTTTTACACATTGATAGATTAGGACACGGTTTTACTAGAAGACGATCCTAATCTCTCATCATGTATCTTTTCTTTAAAATAATAATAATAATAATAATTAATTAAATAGTAATAATAGCACTATGCTAGAACAAATAAAGTTAGATTTTACTTATTGTTATAAATAATGCTAAGGAAATAAGGTGTTTACTTGTTTTGTTTTGGAGGAAGGAGGATTGTATATGAGGGGAGAAAAAACTTGGTTTATATATGAGGATTTGAATTAAGATATTTTAAGTGATATCACTTGTGTTATGGGCTAGAAGGGCCATCCCCATGTGCGCGCCGCCGCTTCCAGCCGGTTCGTGGCATGAGCGTGATGCCTACTTTATAGACGGTCTAGTTTTATGAGACCATTCAATTACAAAGCCCTCAACGCAAGTTTTAGTCGGTTTTGAAACGTGAAAAAACGTTTGTTTACTTTTCGCCTTTATTTTACTGCTTCCTGATTTTTCACCTTCAACTATGTTTTTTTGAGGACTTAAAAAACCAAGTCGCAGTCAGTTTTACACAGTGAATTCTTCCTCTTCCTCTTAATTATCAGTTTCTCAATTCTTTTCTGAGCAAATTGTGAGTTTCCAATTCCTCTTTTTGAGTGCACATTAAAAGGAATCGTTGGGTTAAATCTTGAGGGCAATGCAATATCTGACTGCACCATAGTTGGGGCTATTTTTGCTTCTTAGATAGTGTTTTCAACACGTCACAACTTCATATACATTGAATTCGGCCCACAATTTCTTTTGCGTTTTCTGGTTTTATTGTATTACCTACACTAATAATAGTTACGACGAATAATCATTATGTGAAGGTACATACAAAAATCACTTATTTATATACTCAAAAATACAATATCCAAATGGTTAGAAACTTATTGTTACATCCTAACTATAAATCAATATATATACAAAACATATATATATATTTTTTGACAGTAATATACAAACATATTGAGTGTATTGAAGCATTACTATAATAGGTTCATCAACTCATTGAAAGAGTTTGACATCGTATATCATAATAATTATGTCACTCTTACAACTTTATATCCACACCCGCCTCACAGCCTCACTAACCACCAAACACCCTTTTCACACACCCTTACTAAGTTAGGCTTTGTTCTTTTGAGCAGAACATAACAGATTTTAGCAGAATAGAGCAAGTGTCAACAGAACAGATTTCAGCAGATCAGAACAAAATAGAGCAGATTAGAGCAGAACAGCTTTAAAGAACAAGCACTTACTAAACACCAAATTCACTTCATCTAGCCACCTCTATTCCTTTCCAACGAACACTTGATTATAGAATAGAAAAGAATATAATGAGTTAAAATCCAAACAAGAAAAGCAAGAAATTATTGATAATTTCGATTCCGCATTCTACTACGAGTACTATACTGTAGCCTCCTTTCCTTTTCTTGCATACGCAAATA